TACCGAGACCTTGGCGTTCATCCGATGGCGTCCATCGAGCGCGCAGCATTTGCTCAAACTGACCACGTACTCTGCCACAGCATCCGCCTCGAAACCCAAAGCAACCAAACACGCAGACATCAAAAAACCATATGGCAGTTTGTCAGACGTGGCGGAAAGATCAAACATCATGTCTGGCTATTTTGAGGCAGTTCGTTGGCAACATCGACACCCCAATCTCCATCAGACCGGGATATCCCGCTCGGGGTGTCTTACCCACCAGCACAGACAGTTTTTGCATGGATGGGGTTGCTGGAGTTCTTGAAGAAATTGAAGTATGGGAAGGCTGCAGGTCCAGATGACATATCATCAGATTTCTGGAAGATTCTCATGTACGGTGCAGACGCAATCGGTATATTATTATTACTTCTGTGTCAACCATGCTGGGCCAGGAAATCGATCCCAGAATCTTGGAGAAGAGCCAAAATAGTTTGATTTTTTTTTTAAAAGGAGGCACCGCCCTTCCAGAAGACTACAGGTTTATTTCGTTGCTTTCGATTTGTTGCAAGATATAAGCGTCGCTGATTCATCAACGTTTGATTCGTGGAGGCTACGGCTTGCGTCCTGGACGTTTCATTGGGGGCTCATATGCTCGTGAGGCGTATGATTGATATCGCACACAATAGCAACGATGATGGGATAGTGGTGTTGATGTTGGATTGGGCCAAAGCATTTGAATTATTTATTCCCGCTTCCATGTGCAACGCTTTGCGCAGGTTCGGGCTCCCTCCCGAACTGGTGGAAATGGTGCGTTCCATATGTGCGACCCGCTTCTTTGTTTTTTTCTTCGGATCACGCTGGTACTTCATTTGAAAGGCGACAGAGGGCTGGGACTGCGCAAGGATGCCCGCTCTCCCCGTGCCTCCTCGTCGCGGTCCAGACGATCATGTTGCGCGATGCGGTTTGCGCATTACGTCTTGAACAAGAGCCATGGTGTGTGGTTACATGGGACGTGTTATATGCAGACGACGCATTACTTGTCCGTCAGCACCAGGCGAATTTCCAAAATATGTTGAACGCAATCTTGGAATAATGGCGCATATATGGTTTAGATATCAAGACAGTCCGTGACGCTGTATCTGTGGGAGGCTTGGTGTCTTGCGATGGGAGGGCTGCAGCCGAATTGTCCAGAACGCTGGGAGAGGCCAGCAGGACAGGCAAGCAATTTGACACAAGATGGACAAACTCTTCTCTTGGGTGGAAGCGGAAATACAAGATCTACGACGGCGTCGTTTTGAGCAAGCTGCTTTATTCATTGGACTCTCTCTGGCCGCGCAAAAAGGATCGAGCTCGTCTGGGCGCTTATAATTGTGGGTGTGTGCGCCGAGTGCTGGGCACGCCATCGTCGTGCATATGTAGAGTGCGCGACGATATTGTCTCAGAGAAAACTTCAATGAAACCTCTGTCGCAAACATTGACCTGCAGACAAAACCGTCAACTACGATGCTAATTCTTTTGTGAAGCTTGTGCTTTTCAACGAAGACGGGTCGCCCAGAACGTGGGTCGTCCGCCGCAAGAGAGGACGTCCGCGCCAGCAATGGGCATCCGAAGTGCGTCAATTTTAGTCCATCGCGCTCCCACCCTTCCCGATCCTCCTCTTCCTCCTTCTCCTCCTCCTCCTCCTCCTCCTTCTCCTCTTGCCCTTCTTAGCCGGCGGGGTTTCTCTGATGGAGTTCTCGCACGCCAGAGGATTTGTTAATCGTATTTTCCCGCGTGTGGTCGTTGCGTCCATTCATTTTCCAACACGATCAGCGCACGGTCTGCCCTCTAAGGGACCGTTCCGGGTACCGGAGCTGGCACGCAGACTTCCATTCCAGTCCATTCCATTGACGAACGTGCCAATGTGCACAACTCGTCTTGCTTATGCGTCCGCCCATGTGCACGGCTTGTGACTGACTGACTGGCTATCGCTTGAGACTTTCTTGCGGTTCATGCGGGACGCATGCCTCAGCAACCCGCCTGCATGACCTGGCCGCTTGTGCCCGCCTTCCAGACCCGCCTGGTAGGGTCTTCCCGCCCGATCTGCCCGTCTGGTTCTGCCACGTGCTTTCTGCTTCTAGCCCCCTCCTGCTACTCTCTCTCGTACTCCATCCTCCTCCCTCCCCTTGTCCAGTACTTCCATCAATCCTCTCATCTCCTGCGCTAGGGGCTGCGCGAGACACACGTTGCAGGTAAGAAAGATATATACCTCACGGGGCACAGTCGACGACGAAGAGGACGGGTACCGAAGGTTTGGGATATACGTGTTGAATGGACCGCGGGCAAATAAAAAACGACCAGTCTCAAACTGATTGTTGTTGCTGTCGTTGTTGTTGTTTTCAGTTTTCGTTCCTGAAGAATAATTGTCGTTGATCTCCCTCCAGCGCACATTGTAACTTTCATATTGAAGTGCCCCTTCTGGGGCTCGCACCTTTTTAGCAGGGGAAGTTTTGAGGGTCAAATTGGGCCCGTGCCTTCCGAACTACAACAACGGCTGCCGCCTGATACTTCTTCACGATTTATTTCTAAATCGCGTTTCGCGCGGGACTTCTTAACCATTTATGCAGGCATCGTGCTCTCGCGTGGGACTTCCTCGCAATTTAATCGAGACGCCGCGCCCTCATTGGAATCGCGCTATCGCCCAGCTCTCCTCGCGATTCATGAGAGACTCACACGCTTCAGCAACCCGCCTGCTCGACCTGGCCGCCTGGGCTCGCCTTCCCGATCCGCCCGCTAGGGTCTGCTCCTAGCCCCCTCCTGCTAATCTCTCTCTTGTGCTCTATCCTTGTCCCGATTTTTTCCATCGGTCACTTCTTTTCCTTCTTCAATTTTAGGGGCTGCGCTGAATGCGCGTGACAGGTAAGGACGATGTACCCCTAAGGGGGTGCGATCGATGACGAAGAGGGCGGGTATTGGGTTTCGAGGGTTTGGGATATGCGTCTTGCGTAGCAGGCGAGCAGACATGAGCGAACAGTCTTAACATGATTGTTGTTGCTATTGCTGATGTTGTTGTTGCTGTTGATGTTGTCGTCGTCGTCGGCGTCGTTGAATCCTCATTTTTGAAGAGTGATTGTTATTGGTCCCCTTTGCCTGGTAACCAGTGCATTTTTCAATCACATGCTTCTCCCGAGGCGCGCGGGACTTCCTCACAGGAATCGCGCTCTCGCGTGGGACTTCCTTGTAATTTATTCAGACTCCGCGCCCTCGACACTCAGGCATCACGCTCTCGCTTTGGACTTCTTCACGGTTAATTTGTAAATCGCGCTATCGCTTGAGATTTTCTCGCGATTCATGCGGAACGCATGCTTCAGCAACCCGCCTGCCTCTTGTCCTTTCCTTTATCCGTCCTCTCTGCCCCTGCCTCAGGGGCTGCGCGAAATACACGTTGCAGCTAAGAAACATATACCCCCAAGGGGGTACAATCGACGATGAAGAGGGCGGGTATCGAGGGTTTGGGATATCTGGTCCCGGGCTCCGGGCCCACGGGCCCCCCCCCCTCCCCCCCAGATGGTATGGTCCCAGGATTCCTCGGGCCCCCCCCCCCGATGGTATGGTCCCAGAGACGACGACGACGACGACGACGACGACGACGGCGACGACTACGACGACGGCGACGACGACGACCACGACGACGACGACGACCACGACGACGACGACGGCTGCGGCGGCGACGACGGCGGCGGCGGCGGCGGCGACGACGACGGTGACGACGATGACGACGGCGACGACGACGACGATGACGACGACGACGACGACGACGACGACGAGGACGACGACGACGACGACGACGACCTCTGAACCACCGCAGCACCACACCACATCCACAGGGGGGGGGGAGGGGGGCACCGCAGCGCAGCACCACGCCACGCCCACCTCTGAACCACCACAGCACCACACCACATCCACAGGGGGGGGGGGGGGCACCGCAGCGCAGCACCACGCCACGCCCACGGGGGGGGGCGGGGGGGACCATCGCGCGGGGGGGGGGGCCCAATGACATCAGCATTGGGGGGGGGCCCAAGCCCTGGACCATATATGGCTGGCACGCGTTCAGAAAAGAGCGACGAGTCTTAAAATGATTATCGTTGTTGTTGTTATTGATGTTGTGCTTGATGTTGTCGTCGTCGTCGTTCTCATTACTAAATCATCATTGTTGTTGGTCCCTCCTGCCCGGTAACCAGTGCATTTTTCAATCAAATGCTTTTCCCGAGGCGCGCGGGACTTCCTCACAAGTTATACAGGAATCTCTCTCTCGCGTGATTTGTTATATGTTTTTTGTTGTTGTTTCAATTTTCCAGGGTCACAGCATTCTGTTCTCGTAGTGAGTGCTCCTGGACTGCTGCTTCGGTCGGCGGCGTCATCACAAGTACCCAAATCGACTCCAGGAGTGCGATTGTGGCCGCATCGGTCGTGCATAGCATAGTCGGATGCTGAGTGGTAGGCGCCCGATGCGCTTCATGAGAGCACATGGCTCTTCGAGATTCCTTCGTTCTCGGCTTAACAAGGTGGTGTGCTGCATTGTGAAGTCGGATTCGAGGCACTTCATGCTTTTGCTCCGCACCTGTTGGTCGTCACTTTGGTTAGACAATCTAGTGAAATATTGGGTTTTGCTGGAGTCGGTGCTCAGCGCAGTGACCGACTCTATTGGGTCCCATTCCTCACCGATGCCGTTGAGCTCCTCCTCCGTGGTGGTGGCTGCTGTTCGGTCGGTGGCCTCTGGGTGCAGGGCTGCTTGCCGTCGTAGAGAATCCACTAGCATAGTTGCTATTCCAAGCATCGCAGCAGGGCCCCCTTGCGGCGATGCCATAGTCACTTTCCCCTGGTCCTCTAGTGTTGAGTGAGGTGCTCGTTTTGACTCAGCTTGACTCAGCAGCGCCTGCACGTCTCCTCCTACTTCTCCTTCTTCCCCTCCTCCTTCCTATGCTCTCCGAGTGCCCATTTGCCTCTTTGCAGCCGCCTCCCCGAGCTCGTTCCGACACCAGGACGTGGAATCACAGCGTGAAGATGATGACCGCGGCCAGTGCTCCGCCGGCTGCGGTCGGCGGGGGGTCCCTTCCGCCTCCCGGAGCACCAGGAGACAGGCGAGATTACCCTGCACTCAGGAGTCGGGCGCGGCCTAACCGACCCCTAGCGAACCATCCGCTTCCGTGACGCCATCCTCGCCTGTCGAGCTCCTCTCTGGCCGCATACATGCGTCTTGGGTCGAGGCGAGGGACGAGGATGGCCTGCCAGGGGTCGGTTAGGCCGCCCCTGCAGGAGGAGGATCGGAGATGGATGGGATCCCCGCGCGGCCAAGCCGAGACGTGGCGTGCCCTCCTTCGGTGTTCGAGAAGGAACGCGTGGCCGGCCCGCGAGCTTCTGCGTGCCCGCGCCCGTCGGGTCTCTGGTCCCGGGTCGCTGTCTCCAAGGGGTGTTTGGCCAAGGGGATCTTCCTGCGGGCCCCAAGGATATGCGCCACCACCACCTCCATGCCTCCTCCCTCCTCTTCCCTCCTCGTCCTCCTCCTCCTTCGTGGCGGAGGGAGGGGGCGAGGGAGGTGGTGGTGGGGTATATATTCTGGCCCCGTACTTCTGCCCCTCCCCGAGAGGAGGAGGAGGATGAAGAAGTGGCTTTGTAAGCAATCTGTGCTTGGTCGTCGTTTTCTTATTCCTTGTTTGGCCGATCGGCGCGGGCCCTCGCCCCCCCCCCCCCCATGGAATAGGTCTTGGCTGCTTTTGGCGCCTGTTTCGGGCAGGTGGAGTCTCCCCCGCAGGACGCCCTGTTGCAAACAGTCGCATTCAGCAGGGGTCTGGAGCCAGACCCCCCCCCTCCCCGGCCTCCCCTTCCGCCCAGTTTCGAAACGCTGAATAAGAAAACGTTCACATGTAGCACGCAGCCAGCAACAGTGGACACACCAGCTGAATTCCACTATCCTTACCTCGAGGTCGTTTCTTGGCGGTATCTTTTTGTGTGAATGAATGTGCATGCGGAGCTTTTGCCCAACGTGCGTCCAAAGCGTTATAGGTGGAGGTCGAGACCCGGAATATCGGCCATCATTGATGAGTCGCTGAGCAACAATGTCGCATGCTGGCACGCGCGCAATTATGATTTGGCACGGATTTAATTGATCGCTCGCGCGCAACAGAGTCTTCCTAGACACTGGGAAGCATTTTTCAAGCGCGCCGCAACAAATGGCCAGCGTTCGACGGACATGTTCTATGTGTCGACTTTTTCGTGACTGTGGTTTGGCCTTACGGAGGTCATCGCTGGAATGGCCAAGCTGGACATCGAGGCGTGTCTTGCGTTGGCTGCCTCACAGTTTCGTACTCATGCTTGACAGGTCGTTCATGCATGAGGTCGAGGGCAGTCTTCAGGGACAGGGCATCAGCAGCTCGCGACGCCTCGTCAGAAGAGAAGCAGGAACAGCAGGAGGATATGCAGATAGAACTCAGTCCAACGATTGCCCTCATCTTACGCCGGGGCATTGGGACAGAGATATCTTGAGACGTGCTGGTGCCTTCCCAGCTCGGCAGTATCTCCTGCCTACTTCCCCGCTGCCCTTCTCTCACTGTATTGCAGGAGTCCAGAATACCGCGAAGACTGGTAACGGGCTCAACTGGATTGAGTAGTACATCACATTGGGGTAGGTGATCTTGCGTTTCTCACGACAGGCGTTCTGACGACTTCTGAAAGTCGCCAGGACATTCCACTGGATGGAGTGCAATGTGATCTTCTGCATAGCTCGTGAATGGAACCCGGGGGCCTGAAGGTGGCCAATTCAATCTGCAATCAACCCATGTGCGTCGCCAAGTCTGGCGGCAAGGGCAACGCTTGCGCGTCAGAAGGTCTCCTGTGTGGTATGAGATCCTGCCTTAGAGTTTGACCTGTGATTCGCAGCGTCGCTTTATTACGCAATGCCTGCCGACGGTACTTTCAGTTCGTTAATTGTAGTTTTTTGCATTTGATTATCTATGCGTTGTGGGGGCGGGGTAGGGGCAATCAGGACGCGCACGCCAACATTACCCGTACATGCACGGCTTGCATTTGCAGAGGCACAGGATTGCGGAGTGGTGAGTGCATGTGTATGTGCGTGTGTGTCACGATTCAGGGTTGCACCATAGTGAGGGGTTATGCATTCATGAGCGTCTATCTCATACTCCCTCTGTTTTTTGGTAACATAGGTGACGCACGTCTACGGCCTCACCGAAGTGTATGGACCCGCTTCGGTGTGCCAGTGGAAGGCCGAGCACATTACTTTTTTGTCTTCCTCATCCTGTCCTCGTCGTCTCCTTCGCTTGTGTCGCCTCACTGTCGCCCTCGTCCTCATCCCCTTGCTCGTTAGTGAAACAGTCGTTTATCTTGCTACTTCTCTTCCATTTGTCTTTCCAACTCTTCAAACCTTTCTTTTCCCATCCCCCTCTTCCCCCCCCATCCGGCTTTCTGTCTCCTTCGCACCCCCACTTCGGTTCACAATCCATGCCGTCCTCGCCTTTATTGTACAATTCTTCGTCCTCCCCTCCTCTCCAGATGCAGTGGAGACCAAGCTGCAGCAGGCTCAAGTACACATGTCTGCGGAATCGGTCGTTTGGCCCTTATTGAGTCATGTTTGCCGCTTTCTGGCTCCTTGTGCCGCCCATCTGAGGTGTATTGTACGGGCGCTCGTGCAAGATTTCTTTCTGGTGCACCAGCGGGATTGGGGATTGTACCGTCATTTGAAGTTCGAGTTGGATTCGCGTGTGGTACGTTGGTATCTTTCGTGCACGGCACACGGCCACCGTGCACAACATTGCGGTGCATCTGTTGCACCGGGGTCATGTTATCCTACCCTTCGACGCCCCCTTTTTTCGCGACTCATCCCGAACTCATCGCCGACGTACGGTTTCCCCCCCCCCCCCCTCTCTCTAGCACGTTTTCTCGCGGTTGGCTCCCACCTGAGGCGGACTGGAACGATTTGCCGCAGGAGGAGCAGGCGTCCGCAGTTTCGCCCCTGCCCTTCTGTCAGCTTTGTCTCCTTACTATAAATTGTACAGCTTGGTGTGACAGGTGAAGAAGAGTCTCTTACCTCCTCCCCGCTGCTTGAGTTCTTCCCCGCAGGGAGGGGAGTGTGGAGAGAAGCGCGACCAGGCGTACACAGCGATGTTGTATCCGTAAGGCGTTCCGTTGGCTTTGGAAGCGTGGAACCAGTCAGATGCCAATGCGACTTTTCAGACTGATCGCCAAATTGCTTAGGCGGACGCGACGTCTTCGGCACATGTCGTGCCCAGCGCAGATCCGCGCCCAGGTACGTCAGGACGCTCTCTGAGCAGTTGGGATCCATTCAGCCCGCCCAGAGCTCTACCTCCCAGACCGATCGAGGCCGGCTTGCGTTTGTTCGGGGGGCTCAAGCGCCGGACAATTGCCGAGCAAACGAAGTCACAATTGGTTTCAATTGGAGTGTGGGGCCGACCTTAAGTTCCAGCCCAGCAGAGTTTTGTTGCATGCAATCGCTTCGCGCATTTCGCTCGGCCATTCTGTATCATTGTTGCCATGAGCCTGGGTGGCCGCAAGGACTTGGCAGTTGTCGATTGGCGATCGTTGTTTTTTCTCAGGTGTCGTGTGATGCCCGCGCTGGGGGACACTTACCTTTTCTTAAGGTGGGAGCTTACTTCGTTCCTACACGAAGAAAGTGCTTGGGGCAATGGGAGCGTCGGGGGGGGGTCTCTTGGGGGCTTCTTGGGGTTCGTCGGGGGACTCTTCAGGTTCTTGCGGTGCCGTCTTGGGCCTCATGCTGGGCTACCTTGGCGATTTTTGGGGTTTCCGCGCGAGAACCTGGGTTTCAGGCATGCAGGAAACACACTCTCAGGGCCTGGGAACCTCGGCCAGTCCCTCCGAAGTGCGAACCCCCCACGCGACTCTCACAGCAGGCACCAGAGAAGTGCGCTACCACGCAGCAGTAGCAGGGCGAGCTGCAGGAGCTCGGGAGGTCTGGCTCTTCGCCTCTGAGCGGGCTCTCTCCCCGGCGGCGGCCAGGCCGTCATCAAGGCGCGGCAGGGCGTGCGGTACCTTGCGCAGGAGGAGCGCGGCGCCACGCAGCGGCCGGGGCCTATGGGGCGGTGCAGGACGAGGGGAGGATGGAGGGATGTGTGGAGGGAGTGAGGAGGAGTAAGAGAAAGGGAAGGGGGAGGAGGGAAGAGAAGGAGGAGGAGGAGGAGGAGGAGGAGGAGGAGCAGGAGGAGCAGGAGTAGGAGGAGGATGGAAGGGAGGGTCGGCCAAAGAAACGCAGACGCATCGCCACCGCCGCTGGCACCATCACCAGCGCTGGTCGTGGCACCATCGCAATTCAGGAGGGAAAAACACACACAGACAACATTAATCGTCGATCCCCAGGAAAATATAGGAAAATATGGGAAGTGGGGGGGAAGACGAAAACCCAGAAAATATGAGAATATGGTGAATCCTTTTATTTGTGTGTGTATTTATTTGTGTGTCCCCCAGGGCCCCTTCAAATGTTCACACGAAGCTGTCACCGACACCACCGCGGCCACCACCAAGGCCACCGCTGCCACCACATACCACAAAGAGCTCATGGAGCGTGCGGCTGTGGGGCCGGGGCCACCTGCAGCTCGCCTGGGTCCAACGTGTGGATGCGAACAATCACTTGGGGGGGCAGCAGGCCAGCCCTAGCGTCTGCAGCTCGAGGTCCACCCCGCCAGGCTCCAGATGCACCCTGCGAATTCCCGACGCGTGTTTGTCAAGGTGTTTGTCCATCTGTGGACCAGGGGGTTCCGGGTTTCTGGTCCGGTCTGTCAGTGCGGACCGATGTCGGACGGGGCCAGGACGAGGACGAATCCGTTCCAGAGCGTTCCGGAACGCTGTCAGAGCGCTCTGGAACGCTTTGAGAAGGCCGCGGCGCCCGAGACATCCTCCCAAACCGTCAGATCTCAGATGTTCTCGACTTATTATCGCCCGATTTTGTCCTCGTGCTGGCTTCGTTTTACGTGGGGGACGGGATGGACGTGCAAATCAAGAAAGCCAGGCAAACTGGCTGGGGCAGGACTCTGCGCGCTGTCCAGCCTTGACATGTCTGCTTCAGTTATCCAGTCCTGGTCATTACTTCTCAGTTGTTCCAGCCTTAACCAATGGCTCAATTGTTCTATTCCCAGTCCTGGCCATTCAACTTTTTAGTGATTTCGAATGTATTTGTTCCAGCTCCCCTGTATGTTAGAAAGGGCGGGACTTCACTGCGGGCCCCAGCCTCCCAGGATTTTCCAGGTGACCCCCGTCTGACCAATTGTTCGACCTCCTGGCCACCCTGGGCCAGGAGGGCTCAGAGCTTTGGTGCTTCCCTTCTTGGCTCGTGTGTGCGGCTATCTGGCTGCGCCCACTTCTACGGGCAGCCATCTCAAGAGTATTGCCCAGGAGCCCGCCGCGGCCACCCCAGCCTTCAGGAGGGTCTGCGGGAGCCTCCAGCCCTCGTGTGGCCTGCAGACGTCTGGGGGCCTCGGGGCAACTCTGTTGTGCAGGCGACAGTTGCCCCCTCCCGCGCCAGGGCCTGGTGGTGGCTGGTGCAGACGGAGGAGAAGGCCGAGGAGGAGGAGGAGGAGGAGGAGGAGGAGGAGGAGGAGGAGGAGGAGGAGGAGGATCCCTCCCTCGCGCCAGGGCCTGATGGTGGCTGATGCAGAGACCCTGGTCCCAGTGCCCAGGGACGGGGAGACCCTTGGCGAGGCTGCCACCTGCCCTGCCGCGCCTCATGGCAGCTTGCCGCCGACGCCAGCGCTCGTGCCTGCCGTCGATGTATCAGCGATGACGGAGGCAGACAACGCGATTGCGCAGAATGGACAGGAGAGGGGGGGATGGCCCGTCCCCCTGCTTCCTGCCCCGCTTGTCGCCGCCTACGTCTGGCCCGAGACCAGTCAGAAGAGAGCGAGAAGTGGTGCCGTGTGTGAATGAGATCCCGGACATTTTGCCCTAGCACTTCCCACGTCTCTTCGGTGTAGCTGTCTCACGGGGGCAGTTATGCGATGTGGAGCGACGTGAAGCCTGTAGTGTAAGGTGTGCATCTGTTTTAGTTGATCTGTCCATGACGCGGATCCCGCCCCTGAAGAAGGATGAAGAGGTGCGGGTGTGGAGACAAGGGAGGAGGCTGGCATCAGGCAATCCATCTTCAAAAAGCTCGTGGGTGGCGCGAACACGCTTGAAGCCGACAACGTTTCTAAGAACACCGAGCGCGCCAAGGAGCGTCAGGCTGCCGTGTCCCTCGTCCGGGCTGTCGTCGCGAAGGTGTTTTCCTGATGGATGCGGCCCCGATGGAGTCCCACGAGGGCGTGGAGGGCGAGTGCTCGATGTGCAGATAACGCCACCGAGGCTGGCAGTGGTGACCAGCTCTGCTCTGAGCGCTGGGATGCTTGCCAGGCTCTGCGCGGCTCTGCGTGCCTTCGCGTTCCTCTGCGTGGCCTCGCCGTGCGTGCGAGGCGTGCCGAGGCGTGGCGTGCCGGGAGGTCGAGGGATGCCTCGAGCCCCCGACCGTACTTCGCCGAGGCACCCGCAGCCTCCGCGCCGCTCGCAGGGCCTGCGGCGGCGTCGCTCGCGCGCCTGCGCCCGCGACTGTCAGAGGCGCGAATTTATACATGACCACCGCCTGGAGGGTCAGTTTTCGGAGCCTCGGCAGGCGGTGCATATGGACATAATCGGGCCCCTTGGGGCCGATGTATATATCATATCATATATATTTATATATATATACATATATATATATATATATATATATAATATATATATATATATATATATCTCCGTAAGGGCTTCGCCCCCTGCCGCCGGCCCCCTCTCTCGGATAATGGGCCATGGAAGAGCTAAGTCATGAGGCCTTGGCGCTGTCGTGAAGCAGTATCGAAACTTCATGCGAAGCCGATTCGCAATCAGCAAAACCAACTGATCACAAGAGGGGTTACCACACCTGGCGATTGGTAAGACGTGTATGGTTTACGGGCTTGGTTACCACACCTTGCGATTAAAGGGCCGAGGGAGTTCTCGCAGTTTGGGTTGCCTTGCGATTACCGAATTTCGCCTGTGTTTTTGGATGGATGATCTGCGTGAGGGGTGGCACCGAATTTCAGAAATGTGGCAAATCCCCTGTGTTTTTGGACCCTGACCCCGCGGATCTGCGTGAGGGGTGGCACCGAATTTCAGAAATGTGGCAAATCCCCTGTGTTTTTGGACCCTGACCCCGCGGATCTGCGTGAGGGGTGGCACCGAATTTCAGAAATGTGGCAAATCCCTGTGTTTTTGGACCCTGACCCCGCGGATCTGCGTGAGGGGTGGCACCGAATTTCAGAAATGTGGCAAATCCCTTGTGTTTTTGGACCCTGACCCCGCGGATCTGCGTGAGGGGTGGCACCGAATTTCAGAAATGTGGCAAATCCCCTGTGTTTTTGGACCCTGACCCCGCGGATCTGCGTGAGGGGTGGCACCGAATTTCAGAAATGTGGCAAATCCCCTGTGTTTTTGGACCCTGACCCCGCGGATCGCGTGAGGGGTGTGGATTTCGAGCCCCCCCTCAGCAATTCAGACAACGCGCCCAGGGGGTGCTAAAAATCTGGTTTGGGCCTCCCCCCCCCTCGCGCGGTCAATCAACTAGTTACAGTAACCAGCAATAAGTCAACTAATTACAGTAACCAGCAAGAAGCAGAACTGTAACACTGGAAACTACAAGCTACTACTGGTACAGGAAACTGCGAACCTCGCTCCTACAGCCTGGTGGCCCCACAAGGGGGCCGGCGGATATATATATATATATATATATATATATACATATCCACCGCCCGCTGGGGCACCAGGACGTCGGTCCCCAGGCGGTGGCTATGGACAAATCCCCGCCTCGCAGACTGCCCTCCCGGGCCACGACGAGGCGAGGCCGCCCGCTGCCGGCGGGGGCCGTCAGGGTGCCGGCCGGGCGCGGCGCTGCCGTGCGGGGCGCGGCGGCCGCTCCGCGCGCGGGCGCCCGCTGCCGAGCGGGGTCGTGCGAAGCCAGGGCGAGCTGCCGGTTGCCGAGCCGCGCGCGGCCGAGCGCCGCGCGGCCAGGCGCGGACGCGTCCGCAGCCGGCCGCTCCCGGGGGCGCCGCCCTCCCTGCGGGGCGGCGAGGGTGTCTGTCGGCTCCCGGCCACAGTGCGCCGGGCTGCGCGGAGACGCGGCCGCCGGGAGGGAGGGGTGAGGGACAACACCACTCACCAAACCACCCCAACCCGGCCCGAAGGTTTCAATTCGCCTTCCATTTCCAGATGGGGGGGCCGGGGAACACTGACAAAACATATGGAACCCGTACCCCCCCCACCCGAAGTTCTGGTCAAATTCGGGTCTTCGGGTTGGGTTGGGGTGGTCTGGTATGTTGTCAGAACAGAGGGGGGTTTGGGGAAGGGGGCAGGATGAGGGATGTGGAGGGGATGGGGGAAGGGGGGAGACGTGGAGGCGGCAGGAAGGGCGAGCAACGGGGATACTTGCGCCGGGAGCAAGAGGGAAGGTGAAGCGGGGGAAAAGGAAAGGGGTGGGGGGCGGATGGGGGGCAAGGGAGGGGGCGAGAGAGAGGAATGAAACGCGGCGAGCAGATGTGCACCTCCCTATCCCCGTATCGCCCGCCAGCGCAGTCGTCATCCGCTTCTCGGCCCCAGCGAGCCCGCGCGCGGCCCCGCGGCGCGTGCAAGGGGCTGCAATCAGTCGTGGGCGTCTTCAACCTCAGCTGCGGCCCGCGTGTGTTCGGGCTCGGGCGGAGCTGCGCCTCTGCCTCGTCCGTGTTGAGCCTGCGTTGGGATCGGCGGTTCGCCGTAGGCGGGCGGTCGCTCTCTCCGGGTGATCGCCACCGCAAGCGCGGGGCGGTCGTCCAGGAGCTTGGCTCTTCGAGCCAAGGCTCCTCGGGCTGCGCCTGCTGCCCTAGGCCAGCGGATGCTGCGACCGTTCGTCCAGCGTTTGGTGGTGTCGATCCGCCAATCTGGCGCCCCCCTGGCGGTTGCTTCGCCTTCTTCGCAGAAAACCCCTTCTCCTTTCAGCTGCAGTCCCTCCCCCCGTGCCTCTTGGGCTCTGGAGTCGGAAACCAATCGGAGGAGAGGAAGAGGAGCAGCTCACGCGCCTTCGGTGTGGCACCATATCGGCACGAAACCGCACGAGGGGCATTCGCCTGCAGCTTGAGTGCTCACCTCCCGAGGGCCCCTGCCGTTGCGAGATGTTCGTCGCACGCCGGCCGCGTCGTCCGTGCGTCCTCCGCCGCTCGGGGCAACTTCCAGAGCCGCCCGACCCAGGGCGCAGCGCCAGACCGCAGCAGCTGTTCGTGCGACGTCTTCCAGAGCCGCCTCGCCAATGGCAGCGAGGTCCGCGGCGCGGAGAGAACTGCGCTCGGGATGGAGTCGGAGTCGGTGGCCCTTCTGACCTCCGCTTCCTCTCCACTCTTGCCCTTCCCGACGCGGCCTCGCTTCGGCTCGACGTCCTCGTCAGGCCACGTAAATATGTCGGTTCAGGGCCACACGCGATTGACTTCGAAATCGTTCGCGACATTTTTTGGTGGGGATCGCTCGAAACCCAATGATTTGATTCGCTGGTTTGGTATTCTTTGGACCCGTCCCATGCTCCACGGCCGTCAACAAACGCTTCGGGATGAAACCCCGTTCCTGGGGAAAACCTGAGCTCCTGCAGGTGGCGTTTGTGGTGTGTGTCGACCTCTATCAGGAAGCTTGATACTGTTATGCTCCCACTATTTGCAAACGCGCTGGCCCCGACGTGACGTCGAATACCAGACCACGTCCTGATCGCACACTTTTCCCTGCAGGCCAGCGGTGGAGTGTGCGCTCTCGACCCGCGGATCAGAAAAGTGTGTGAGAATTTTCGGCGCGGGTGGAGTTTGCGACCTGGCCGAGGGATCTGATGGGGGAGGCGTGGAAGGCGGCCCGCCGCAGGTTTTCTTCCGGGGCAACCTCACAATGAAAGGCTACCTGAAGAACCCCTCCGCTACGGACAAGGCCGGGTGGCGGATGGGGAGCGGCTTGTGTTTGTGTGTGTGTGTGTGGTAATGTGGTGCAGATGTTTATGTTTAGGTTTATGCATGTATATGTATGTGCATGTCTGTACGTATGTCTGTCTGTATGTCTGTCTGTCTAGTTGTCTGTCTGTCTGTCTGCCTGTCTGCCTGCCTGTCTGCCTGTCTGTCTGTCTGTCTGTCTGTCTGTCTGTATGTATGTATGTATGTATGTATGTGTGTATATATATGGACACACATGTGCATGTATGCTATAGGATTATATGTATGTACTAGTGACCTTCGACCCATCCCATCACCGTGCTTGGGTTGTAGGTCGGCGACCTCTGGGATGCCTTTGAGGATCTTCTCGGATTCGGTTTTGGGATGTCTTGGGGGCCTCTCGGGGGCCTCTTGGGGGCCTCTTGGGGCCTGATTTACGCTTCTTTGGGGCCTCCTGGAGCTTGGGGGGCCTCGTGGGGGCTTGCCGGCGTGCAGTGATGAGGATGATAAGGATGATGACACTGATGGGGATGATGATGCTGCTGCTGCTGATGATGATCATGCTGCTGATGATTAAGATGCTGATCATGATGTTGATGATGCTGATGATGATGACACTTCTGATGCTGATCACGATTATGATGATGATGTTTATGATGCTGATGATGATTCTGATGTTGATGACGATCATGATCATGATTCTGATGACGACGATGATGATGATTATGATGATGACGATGATGCTGCTGCTGATGATGACGATGATGGGGATGATAATGATGATGCTGATGTTGATGCTGATGCTGATGATGTTGATGATGAAGATAAGAATGGGAGGGGGAGGAGGAGGAGGAGGAGGAGAAAGAGGAGGGGGAGGAGGAGGAGGAGCAGGAGGAGTAGGCGCATGAGGAGGAGGAGGAGGAGGAGGAGGAGGAGGAGGAGGAGGAGGACCAGACTAAACCCTAGGCTATCGGCGATGTTGGAATCAACTCTCCTTCCAAGCTCCCTTTTCATAGGTCCCTACAATATGCATTTCCACTGAGGGAAGTCCCCCGTTTGGAGATAACTGGTTGAAGATCTTGAAGTGTGCCAAACCACATTCTCGGTTTTCCAGCGTCACGAATCAATCTGACTGTTGCGTCTTGACGATCCTGAACAGTGCCACAACATTTTTCCTGGGACTTCAACACCAGGAATCAACGTCATCGTTCAAAACACAGTTTCTTGTACGCTGATGGGAGTCCGTGAAACTCGTGCAAATGTTTAAAGCAAATGCGCGCGGCGCGAAGGCGAGAGTCACACTTTGAAAAGGAACCGCCATCAACCTGTGAAACTCTTTGCCAATATTGAAGACGAGTGTTCGCGGCGCTAAGGCGAACATCACATTTTGAAACCCGCCCGCTCTCCAGGATCCTGACTGGTAAGGAAGTCTGAGGCGAAAAGCCCGGCCCGCCCTTCCAACTGGCCTCGGGGTGCGACAGGGAGGAGTTATTCATACGGAAAGGGCGGAAACCCAACTCGTTGGGAGCTTGCCCAAAGGAGCCAGTGAGCGACTCTCGGACGACGGTCGTAGAGTGGAGGGAGGAGTTGGGACGGTGCCGGCACCCATCCTGTAGGAGGGTTTCAGGCGCCGAGCGTTCCAGAGCTCTGGCCCCGCCGCGATCTTAGATTCCGAGCTCCTCCTCTTCCCCCTCTCTTCGTCTGTCGTCCCCTCCCAGCAGGGAACCACCAGACAGTCTCGGAGAGCGAGGCGTTCGAGTGGGTGTCGTGCTCTGACAACAGGCGGTGCAGGGAGGAGAGGAGCAGGGCGACGGCGCCGGCACCCATCCTGTCGGAGGGCTTCAGGCGTCCTGCGTTCCAGATCTCTGGCCCCGCCGCGATCTGAGATTCCGAGCTCCTCCTCTCCCCTCTGGTTTCGGCTGTCGTCGCGCGACCGTCATGGAGTTACCGTGCTTCGCCATTGTCGCCATTCACGGACTCGCCTCCGCATCCTGTCAGAGCACTCGTTTCTTGTGGGGTCCGTGTGGGACCTCAGCTAATAACCGTACTTCGCTCTCATCCATTCCTGGGCTCTCGACCCAGACCGAGCAGGTGCTGCTTCTTTCGGTGACCCCAGCGAATGCACCGTGTGCTGCGCCACACGGGACGGAGAGAGCGGGTCCGTAGCCGTCTGGGCTCAGGCGGCTCAAGCGGTTGAGCGCAAAAACTTTTACACACTTTCAGCTTCTGGTCATCCCAGTTCTCCCGATGGCAGAGGTTTCTTTGGAGACTTACATCAAGAACGTGGACGCCAAAGAGCCAGCAGGAGAGATCCTGGCGGCAACGGCGGCCTACTTCAAGGAGAACAAGATCACCGACCCTGGTCAGCTGATCGGCCTGATTGAAAAGGATGTGAAGAACGACTTGCCCCTGCCTGTGTTGGGACTCGCCCGTCGTACAATTCGGTTTGCAAACCCCGAGCAGCAGAGCAGTGGTGCAGCGTCTGCACCTGCTACATCCGTTCTCCCACAGCAACACCAGCCAACCCTTCCCCAAGCCATGCAACAGGATGTCCTGGACATGGTTGGGGCAGATTACTCAGCAGAGGTGGTGGCAAAGCTGTTGGCGATAGCACCTGACAAGGTGAATGTCGCAGACAAGCTTGCCAAAGCGGGGCTCGGAGGGCTCCCGTACCACCTCCAGGCTGAAGAGCTGGTTTGGCGTGTGCTGCACGCAGAGAACGTTGCCGCTGAGAAGAACAGTCGGAAAGCGTTCTCGTATGTAGATCTCACAGCCAAAGAGATCCTCCCGCTGTGGCTCCCCTCAGACGCCATCGGGGGTAAGGCACTCACAGGTGGCGAATGGGGTTCGACGCTGGACCCGTCGTCGTCAGTTGCAACGCTCGGTCAGCTTACCAGCGCGTTGAGGAGTGCAACGGCCACCCGCCGTTTCTTCCGGTCCTTCGTGCAGTGGACCACGGCATTCGACCGCTACGCGGTGGCAGCCGTGGCAATGCAGCAGCTAACGTGGGCCACCGTCATCTGCTACAAAGACGAGTTGGCGAAGCTCGTGGAGAAGCACAAGTCGGTGAAGCACAGCCAGGTCCTGATCATCCTATACGATGATTTGTTCCGGCGGCAGTTGGCCAAGAGGGCAAACTTATCGGAGCCAGATCTGGACGTGCAGAAATCCTTCAGAACGGTGGACGAGACAATCCTTGAGGCGGCCACGCTGCGCCTGGAGTCCGTGCTCGAGGCAGCAGGTCTGAGGTCGACCAACGCGCCGGTTTCAGCAGGCGCTTCGCTCCCCTCGCAATATCCTTTTGAGTCCGTCCTTTCCAAGCAGCAGGCAGCAGCCGACGCAATCCAGAAGCGTTCGGCGGAGGCGGCCAAGTCCTTGGCGCACACGCAGCAGCAGCTCAGCCAGGCGAAGCAGACGCACGCGTGGGTGCAGAAGCAGCTGGCGGACGGCAAGGGGGGCAAAGGAGGAGGAAAGAAGGGGGCCGACAACGCGAACTGGCAGCACTCTGAGACCGAGGGCTGGGTCAGCAACAAGCGGATGAAGTTCCTGAACTTCAAGGACAGGAAGGCGGGGAAGTCTGGCGGTCGCGGGTCGTATTGACTATCTTCTGCGCATGCAGAGGAAACAGATGCCGGCAGCAGCGGTGCCGATTGTGCAAGTGACCACAACCATGCCCTACTTGACCCTGAGGATCCGTTTGTTCCGCGGGGCCTGGGCGCCCCAAAGGGGCTCTCGGTCATGGAGCACGTAGCTTTCGCGCTCGCCGCACGGCATCCTGACGAAGAAGATCTACTCCACAGAGTACTTCCTGATAGAGTCCGTTTGGCTCTAGATTGGGAGAGGGACCATGGAGCTCAAGACATAGATGCTTTTCGCCTTGCGTCGTTCCAAGAACTGCAGCAACGCGCGGCCTCCGCGAGCAGCGGAATTGCTAGCACTCCACAACTGGACAGCGAGTGCAATCCTGTTGCAGCGAAGCTCAATATTCCTTTGTTTCACTCCTTGTTCGCTGAGTTGAACTACCAAGCACAGGATCCGCAATTACTAGACGACTTAGCGGGATTCCCGTTGGTCGGTCAGCTTCCTCGGAGCGGCCCTGACACGCGGCCCGACGGCAAGCCTACCTGGAACCCTGTCGAGGTAGAGCAGCTGAGGAACGAACGCGAAGACAGAAATTTGCGGATTATCACGGAGATGCGACCCAGCGAATGGGACGATGACATCATGAAGCTCACCCTAGAAGATGCCAGGGATGGCTCAAGACATCGTGCAATCCAAAACCCTGGCGTGACGTTTTCCTGTAAGGGAAGAGCGTTCAGAAGGGTGGAGAACGAGGCCAATTGATGACGAAACGGAAGGGGGGCAGAACAAAGCCACTTTCATCCCTGATCGGGCCCAGCATGACGGAATAAACGAGCTAGTATCAGCTGCGCTTCACCTTCTCCGTCATGAAGTCGAACCTCGCCTGTGGAAGCGGGACGTATCAAAAGCTTACCGGCGGGTTCCAATCTCAGCAGAGCACGAGGAATTCTCGTGGTTTGTTTTCACCTGGAACGGTAAGTTGTGGTGCGCACGCCATTTCGGCATGATGTTTGGAGCCTCAGCCGCAAATGCGGCGTGGCACCGGCTAGGGAGTTTTGTCCGGCACGTTGTCCTCGTAAAGTTCCACGCGCCGGTATTCAGGTACGTGGGCGATTTCTTCGGAGTGTCGAGGAAGGGCGTAGGAGTCACGGGAGGCTGGTTGGTGACCGAAGTCCTGGCATTGTTGGGCTTGGTTGCAGATCCAGCTAGAGACGAAGATGCTACTTTGAGGCTCCCTGTGCTGGGCACGGTAGTGGAAGTCTACCTAGAAGGAGGAGCCATTTCATCATCCGTGTCGCCAGAGAAGGCCCGGCGCTGGCTTCGAGATCTCGAAGTGCAGCTCCAGGAAGGCTGTGTTGACCCACACACAGCCATTCGTACAGCGGGTCGCCTCGGGTCAGCCATTACGTCTTCCAGGTG